ATATATATATATATATATATATATATATATATATATATATAGAGAGAGAGAGAGAGAGAGATGCATTTACAAGGACATAAACATGCAGACTGAGCAACTTTATGTACAGAGAGATAGACAGAAAGAGAGTGAGAAGATCTGGTCTTCACTGCAAGTTAAAAGCTCTCTCTCTCTCTCTCTCTCTCTCTTCTCTCTCTCTCTCCTCTTATCTTCTCTCTGAAAGCTGAGAAAAACAAAAAGCTGTGTGTGTGAGAGAGAGAGGGCATAAACGCACTCCCATGTGTGCACTTCTCGAGGAAGCTTCTCCTCATCCTTTGTTTTGTGACTCTCCTCTCTCTATGTACGTATTCTTTTTCCTTTTTTCTTCATAAAAAAAATTGTAAAAATGGCGGTCCTAATAAAATTTGTTTTCCCAACTATAATTAATATATGCATGAGCTATGAATATTCCATTAAAATCAAATTTCTCTACAAGTCACTGACTAGATTTGATTAGATTCAAGTTTTAACCAGGCCATATGCATATATTCTGCATGCCTTTTTCCACATTTCACATGCGGCTTTATTTTTATAATTTTATATTAAAGAAGCAAAGTTTTCTCCGAGTATGATATGGTAGTTACTATGAGCATTAAACGAATTAAAGTAATTTTTATAAATCTAAAGTAATATATAAAGGGTAACGGTCTATGCACATTCTTCCATGCATGAATTTATCTTTTTTGTTTTTGCAATCTAATCATTTGTAGGCACCTCATTGCAATCTCAACTTTGGATTCTGTTCTTCCCTTACCTCTTTTTATTCTTTTATTTTATTTTATTTTTCATTTACATTTCTTTTTTGTTTTTGATTTTTGATATTTTTATATTTCATTTTGAGACAGTCGTCTGTTCGAGGTACTGATGTTAAATGTTCTCTTGACAAAGTACGGTCCCGAAGCTTCTTTTGTCCCACCCTTCTCTTTCTTTCTCTATTTTGATTTCCATATTTCTCACCCATTTTGTTTTCTCCTTCAAAAAAATAAGCACCATATATATATATATATATAATTCAATTTGACATGTTTATGAATATTCCTCCTTTTACATTTCTCTAACATTTTCGTTGAAAACATAATATTTCATGAATAATATTTATGAACCCTAGTGGAACGGGCACACGGATGGAGTCATGCATTCCAAATAAATATAGTTAGATTATAAGGTAATTTTGAGTTAATTTCATTATGTAATTTTGTAACAATTTTTGTAAGTGTTACCACAAACCAAATCTACGTTTTTCCACCATTTTTTCCTCCCTCTACATGAGAAGAGAAGGTCGTGTGTGTGGAGAATGAACTCTTGTTGGGCACGTAGTTGTGTTGAGATAATATATACATGTGGTCGCGGTTGAAAGTAAATCACTACAAAACACAAAATAGGTGATGAAATTGCAACGAATCGACAACGAAACAAGGAGTCGGAAATTTTCTGTCACGTATTCGTCGTCAAATATTTTCTTATTGAAAATGAACTGCTGCAAAATTTTCGAATTACAAAAAAACTATTGTTTTATTCATTCATAAAATCCCCTTGTTTTCTTAATATTTTATACATTGTTTTCGTATAGTTTTATTGATACTTTGTCCTATTTTTACAACACAATTTTTTCTGGTAGAACATGTAAGAGGAGGATAATACGGTATACTTTTATTCCGATAGGCTTGGTTGAAGAATTTTTGTAAGGAAAACACGTTCTTTGGAACTATTTATTCAATGCCCGTTAATAAAACTGTATAAATGGTGCAAAAGTGTTGAGCTATATCCCGAGAATTGAATTTTTAAGATGATATATATATAATTTTACGTTTAACAATATATATATATATATATATATATATTCCGTGAGTACTAAGAGAATATTAGAATTTACACGATATCATATCGAAGCAAATCAATGTGGATATTTTAAATTATATGCAATTCACACGACTTATATGTATCCAAGGGTATGTTATATATTTGTTTAAAAACCGGTCATATATATGTATATATGAACAAAAGAAGAAAAGAATAAAAGGATAAAGAAAACGTGGATGAAAAGATTGATACTCAGTGTCGGTTTCTCTAATGGGAACTTCTTCCCCTCCCATCTTTATTGCTTTCTAAAAGGATTTTTGGAGCTATATATCGACCTCTACGTACACATACACATATACATACATATAAACGCATTTACGTTACATATGTGTGTTTTTGCATTCTCATGCAGAGGAACGTACAAAATCAAATGATTGTACTTTCAGAAAATAAAAATTCCATTCGTTACCAGCTTTTTTTGTTGCTTGCATGTGGTTTCCCGAAACCCTAATAAAACTCTTTACCTTTTTTTTTTTTTATTCATGGGATCTTTATCATCACAACTTGCTCTTCCTTCTTTTTTTTTTTTTTGTAATTGCGTCCTTTTTTTAAAAATTTTTAGTTTCCCGATGCACATAATTTGTGCGTAATCCAAAATAGGCAACAATGGTACTATAACCACACTATGAAATGTGTATATGCGACTCAAAATGATTCATTCTCTATACTTCATTATATATACAGAAGCATGAGAAGAGGAAGATGTTAACCTAACGTCTATGGATGGTTACAGAAATGGTAATATCACAATTAGAAGATTACAATCGTAGGAGAATATATGTATTCCCTTATACGCCCCCTCAAGATGGAGCGCCTTCGGTGATTCCAATCTTGTTGCAGAGTGAATGAAATGGCTGCCGAGATAGTGGTTTGGTTAAGATATCGGCAAGCTGGTCTTTTGCACTGATATGTGACACTTTCAGTTTCCCTGCTTGAATCTGATCTCTGACAAATAAATAGTCTAAAGCAAGATGTTTCATCCTTGAGTGAAACACTGGATTTGCACTTAAATACGTTGCACCGAGGTTGTCACAGAAGATGGTTGGTGGTTATAGAAGCTTGATTCCGAGCTCAGAGAGTAAGTTCATTAACCATCCAATTTCGGCAGAGGTGTTGGCAACCGATCTATACTCTGCTTCTGTGAACGAGCGTGAGATTGTCCGTTGTTTCTTTGATGACCAGGAAATAGGATGAGTGTCGAGATAAACAATGTAAGCCCCTGTTGATTTTAGATCATTTTTGTCGCCAGCCCAGTCTGCATCGCTGAAAGCATGTAAATGTATCGGGTTGGTTGCTGAGAAATAAATACCTTTGTTGATCGTTCCAGCAAGATAACGCAAAATACGTTTTGCAGCCTGCCAGTGG